TTAATGAAATACAAGGTAATACAGATGATGCCTTTGCACAGTGTATTACTTGTTCTGTTGAGTACATTCATATCTCCATTTAATGATCAAAATAAGAGAGAATACAGTTGAAAGGTATCCAAAACAAAATAATTATATCTCAGAAAGCATTTACTATACACATTTTTCGGTTACACAGTTATAAAGGGAAGCTAACAAAGCTTTTTTCTGAGTATGTAACTTTCTCAATAAATTTCAGTGTGGGCTCCCTTGGTGGCATGACACATATCCAGATGATATTTGACCTCATTCCACATTTCTTGAAGCATGTTTGGTGTTACTGTAGCCACAGAGTCCCGTATGTGTGCTTTCAGGTTCTGAAGGTCGATCTTAACCTGGTAGACAATATTCCTCACATAACCCCATAATCAAAAACTGAGTGGGGATAAATCTGGCAATCTAGGAGGCCAAGTGATTGGTCCACCTCTGTTGACGCACAGTTGAACATGGAATTTGTACGTAACTGAGAGCTAGCAGCACAAATTGATTTGCACAGACTTCACTTTAATGTCTCTCTAATGTGAATGACATTTTCTTCAGAGATTCGTGTCTTTCCAGGAGATTTTACACACAACAGACTACCTGTAAACCTCAATTTTTTTGTCCATAACCAAATGCTTTTCCATGTAGGAGGTTGAAGCCCATATTGCATTCAAAACCAACACTGGACAGCAGCAAGAGTTTAAAACTCTGCTAGTCACAAGATGCATTGAACCTGTGCCTGTGGTGTTGACATCATTACAGAGCCCGCCAAAGATCACCAACTGGTGCATGCATGCAAGCCAGGCAAAAAAAAAAAAAAAAACTTCTTGAGTTTTCCTTTCCAGTGACATAAACCAGATACATGTATGACAGTTAATTTGCGAGATGTAAGTTTTTTTATTTTAGATACCTTTCATCCAGACACCCTATATATACATATAAATGTTGTTTTAAATGTGTTCTTCAAGGAAGCCTTGCAGAGAGAGCAGCTTCTGGAAAACAAATTGGCGACACTGCAACGATTAGTAGAAACAACACGTCAGGCATCAGATCTTGGTTGGAAAGCACTTATAGATGAGGATCGTCTTCTATCACGTGTTGAAATTCTGGAGAATCAGTTACAAATGTATTCAAAAGTAAGATGAACATGAATTTTTATTAAGAAACATCATATATTGAAGAGTATGTTTATTTTCAGCATAGTTTTTGCATGTAATTTAGATTAAAATGTTTATATTTAGTACAAAAATAATACCTTGGGCTTTGATGCCATAACATTTTTTTATGTGTTAAAGAAAGCCTTTAACCAGTAGTTTAAAGTGTATCAGAAAAGTGGCAGAACATACTTCTGTAATTATCTCTACAATGCTATAGGAAAGGCACAAAAAATTTTAATTCTAGTTAGTAGCCTGTTGCACTACGAGAGTATAACTTGTTGTACAGATAACTTTGTTACAACTTATGAATTAGTAGTTGGCTTATGACATGTTAGTGCCATTATTAAATACAGTTCTGAATAACAATGGCAATTGATGAAGAAAGTTAAATGAATTTTTCCATGAAAGGTTTCTCATATTAAGATTCCCTGCCATAAAATATGGCTATCCACTGTTCTGTAAGTACTTGATTTACAAATTTTCGCTGCAATGAAGTGTGTAAATGCATACGTATTTTTCATGTAACAAACTTTATTTTTGCTACAACAAACAAATTACATTTGTAAGTTTTTTTTTTTTGAGGTGGCGAAGATGGAGAAATACACCTTTGTAGTCAGTAGACCTGCCATTAGATTAATATCATTCACTGTTTTTGCTATGATGCCTAAATGAAGTCTCTGTTTGTTTTCTAGCCATGAAGACTTACAATTGAGAGGCTTCATTTGCACATTGACAAAAATGCATCATTGCATTGCAACAGCCATGAGAAAATAAATGTGAATAAAATAATACAGTTTTATTTACTATTAAAACATACGTTAAAAAGTATTGTGAGTCTTTTCAGGGACTGATGGACGAGTTGGTGACTTTTACATGTAAAGTGATGGGAATGTAATTTTTTGTTTTACAAATTTTCACCTTCTATACAGTTTTCATGGAATTAATTATACCTTCATAAATCAAGGGATACCTGTACTTATTTGGCTAATGTATTTCTTTTTCTGCATTATTTTTAACCCATAGTGTGGGTGAGGTGCATTATGCAGATTATTTTTGTAACAGGTTCATGGTGCTGTATAATAGAATAAAACTACCAGATTTCTAGGACAGTTATTTCTCACATGCTTTTATTTTTTGGTCTGCCCTTTTTGTTGGCTCTCTGCAGCTCTCACTGCAATTTAGTTACATGAATATCCCATATCTGCAGGGGGCTTATATGTCAATGTCTGCCACTCGCCTATTGCAAAAGATGCATAACTCACCAGTGCTGAAGATCACATCTGGTGACTCTTAAAACGTTTATGACTGTCCCTTCCAACACCTGGGTAAAGGACAAGGAACTCAGTCAGTTCCAGAAAAAGCTTTTACCTATCTGGGACACTAGTGGTTTGGAAGGGTCATTTTTGAACCAGTATCAGGCTCATTAAGCAGCAGTAGCAGATCTTATTAGGTGCTGCATTCAAAGGGGCACACTTGAAATGAGTTTATGTAATCAGTAATGAAAACTAAGCAGTGTGCAATAACAGGGAAGGACATTGTGCAATAAAAGGAAATAGTGTGTTACCTTCCCAAAAGTAGAAGAGGAAATATTGTGTTACGGGGAACATTACATGAAAAAACATGGTACTTTATGTTCATTTAAGGTTTAGTTTTTATATGTTTGTTTCAGTTCGTCAATCCGTTGTACCACAGAGAAAGATTTTGAATTCGAAGGTATGAATATGTAGGACAAAATATTTTTTGCTGGTGGATTTGTCTCCTGATATTTATTACTTTATGGTACCGTTCCCATCATGCCCTCCAAGCATAATATACTTTTCATTTTCTAAGCCAGCGGAGTGTAGGTGAAACACATATTAAAAGGTCATATATATGGTAAAATATTTTCATTTCACACATGTTCCTCCGCAAACTGCTGATGCTATTTTGTGATCATAAATTTGAATAATTGTAGCATAGTAGCATGGTAGCATATTATAGTGTTTTTTTGGGGGGGGGTGGGAGAAGTTTGTTCATTTCTTACTCTACACGCATTCTAATCCTTAAAAGCAAATTATAGTCCATCAAAGACTTCATAGAATGGAAACAACTGCCAGTAGTAGGAATAGTAGTACGTGGGGCAATCCCAAAGTTTCCGAAATTTTAATTTTGTGCGCGAATGGTTATGAGTACATGGAAATACCGCTAGGTGTCTCCTCACACATCCTCCTTGAACCAGTGTGGCAAGCAGCGTCGAGTTGAGTGGTTGGGTTTATTGTTGGTGAATGTATTTCCATTGTTGTGTTTCCATGAGTTTGCGGTTTTGCGATGGCTGACCAGAGAGAGCAGCGTATCTGTATGAAGTTTTGTTTCAAACTTGGGAAAACCACTGCAGAAATGCACCAAATGTTGAAGCAAGCTTTTTGTGAAAACAGTTTAGGCCAGACACAAACTTACAACTGATATAAGCGTTTTAAAAATGGCCGAACGTTGACTGATGTTGACGATCGTTTGGGACGGCCGTCAATGGGCAAAACACCAGAAAATGTCACGAAAGTTAGGGATCTGATTCTGCAAGATTGTAGACTGACCATCCAAGACCTCTGTAACACCTTGGGAGTAAGTTATGGTACATGTCAACGAATTTTGTCAGAGGAACTGAACATGAGGAGGATTGCGGTGAAGTTTGTGCCACAACTGCTGCAAAATGAACAGAAGCAGCATCGCTCGGAAGTCTGCAGGGAACTTCAGCAACAGCTTCAAGAGGATCCAAATTTTCTTTCGAAGGTTGTCACTGGTGACGAAAGTTGGGTTTATGGCTACGA